AAAGGGGCCGTAATTTTGACAACCACCCATATAGGCTTCGAACTGCGAATGCCAGTGCCTGGCATCACCAAAAGTGGTAGTGCAGAGCTGGTTTGCTCGAGAGGAGAATGCCGAAAAAAACACGGAGAAGCTGTCTGGAACCGCCGAGAAGCACCCTGACGGAGGATTGTGTTCTTAGGGCTTAGGCTGAAAAGGGCGGCATCGTCACCAAAGGCACGGCCTGTGTTTGCATTGGCGTTCGCTCGTGTGCAGGTGTGACTCGTTGTTTGTGCGCCCGGCGTTAGGAGTAGCAGCTTCGAGGCTTCGGTTACCTGAATTGATAGGCACTATAAACCCTAAACCCCACGACTCCGCCTGGTTGCTCTCAGGGTTTGCGGCTCCTAGCAGCGAGGTATGGCGAGAAGGCTGAGAGGGTAGTGGAGAAGTTCTTCGAGAAGGTGGAAGACAAGGCCTAAACGGGCCGATGCATTCTCAGATTGGTGCTTGACGAGAGCTTCAGCTTCACTTGTTCAGTGGAAATGCTCTCCTTTTGGTGCTGGTTGTGATCGGCCAGATGGAGAATCGTCGAGACACCGTCGAGCACGAAGCGGAGGAGCGCGTGCACTAAATCAAGCTTGCCGAAGTTGCTGTCCACATGCTCCAGACCTCTAGGCTTCAGAGCACAACACAGCGGTGTCCACGCCCACGATAGCTGTCCTCTGTCTTGCAGGGTTTCGCATATGCTGTTACCGATGCAAGTGCCACCAGGGTTGTTGGCTTCGTCCCTCAGAGGCAGTGTCCCAGGTCTGTGAACTGAAGTTGGAATCTGATGAACCGGATAGACAAGCCTCTGGAAAAGACGATTATTGCAATAACTGTGTTTTCCATTATTGACGATTAATATTCCTAAATATTTCTATTATTACTACTGTGAACCCATAGTATGATAGTATCCCAGCGCAAGGATGAAGCGAAGAAGCACATGCAGCGCGTCAAAGAGGCGGTGCAGAGCGTCGAGGAGCGGGCATGCTGCAACACTGTTGCAATGCATGCGATAATTCTTCCCCCTCCTTGATCCAGTCATCGCAATTGCCGACGAGTCGTTTGACATCGCGCGAATTTGGCAGACACCTGTTACGGCTTGGCCGCTGCATTCAGTCAACAGCGCAGGAACATGTATGCAGCCAGACAGGAACTCGACGTAGGCGTTCGAGTTCATCACATAGGTACCAATAACAGTAGTAACAGGAGTAATATTAATAATAGTAATAACACTCATAATGATAATGGAGCATGGTGGGTCTAGAAGAGACGAATCAGAGGACACTTCGGCTCGAGGACTAGAGGTGTCCCAAGCAGATCAGACGTAGTTTACTGGGCCATAGTTAAGATAAGGATCCCCTGAAATATTGTAGTTAGTCATTATGGCCCTTCTGTTACCCCTCTTATTCACGATGATCGTGACAAAGAGTTTGTGAGGTCGTCCGACTGGAACTTCCGAAACTTGGTTCACCTGTGTCCGATAGCACGAGTTGACCTGCGACAGCTGCTACAACAAACGGCTTGCCCCCCTCTCGCGGTTTAGGGTTTAGGGGTTTCAGGCGCTTGCACAAGTCCTGATGCAAAAAAAGGGTTGAGTTAGGGTTTTATAGGGTGTGCATCCCCGAGGTCTCCTAAGGTGACTGAGGAAGGCTCTGCCCTAGAGCTTCGCTGCCAGCATACAAGTCCGTGCTTTAAAAAAGGTTTTATAGGGTTTAGGGAGCATTGTCGCTCAAGATTTCGCAAGCGCGATCTCCAGGACGCCTCCGCCCCGAGCCCATCCCCGGCGATGTTCCTGCCGCTTGGCATCGAGAAGCCGAATCCACACCCCTACACACTACTTGCCTGAACTGTCTCGCATGAGTGTGTTGCTAGACATACTACCCTAACCTGTGGCCCGAATCCTATTCCCGCCGACCCCCAAAATCCCGCAACGATATATACGGTCATACTGCGGAGAATGATCGAGAAAATCCTGAGAAGGCGCGCTGGGCCTGGGCCGCTGCAGCTCCTCGCACCTCCGGAGGACCACTAGACTAGAATTATGAGCAAGTTGCTTTGCTTTTAAATTTTATTGCAGGAGTTAACTATTTTAAAGGGGATTCTAGAATTTCTGCTATGGCTTTACGGCTTGAGGTTTACGGGTTTGTCCGTAGAAACTTATACACATTGTAGGTCGTATCAGATGTTGAAAGATTTCAATTGGGTTGTATGGTTGCAGCAGCAGTAACAATACACGTTATGAAGAAATACCTGTAGAGTTTGCTGCTGTGCGGTCCAGATCTGCACCAGCGTCACTACATGTTGACGACGATCCAGGCCGTGGGCAATCGTTCCCCACGTTTTCTGATGCAATTGAACTCCAAGCTACCGCGACTTCCGAGCTCATGTACTGCGTTGGTCGTCAGCACGAGCATACAGGCATATGTTTATTGTTGGGGAAACATGTGCGCATGATATACTTACATAGATGTGCACGTGTCTTTGCACATGCATGTTTCTCGCACTGAGTGCTGCCCTCGCCACCGCTGGACCGTAAGGAGATGCTTCGCCGCGGGCTCCTTCTTCCTGCAGCCGTCGGCCTATCTGCCCTGGGCCTGGCAACCTTCGCCTGGCTGAGACAGAGGCAGAATGATATAAGGGTTCAGGGTTTAGCTTTTGGTTTCGGTAAGGAACCTGAACTACAGAGTTTTCAAGTGAATGCAGTCAGTAAGAAAGAGCTCTTTCGCCTGAGTGAACGGCCTTCCCGTGCGTTCGACACATTATTCCCCCAAGTAGGGCTGTTTGTTCAGCTTCCGTGTCTCCCTGCTCTAGTGCGGTGGAGACACTGTATCGCAACAAGGCCGCATCCCCGAGCCTAAACCTGCTACTATAGAGGCCTTAATATGGGTGGTTGTCAAAATCATGGTCTTTGTTGGGTCCTTATCATAGTACGGTACCTAGTACTTAGGGTTCCCAAAAAGGGATCATAATTTTGACAATCGCCCATATAGTATAGTATTCCCCGAAACCCTTGTCTAATTGTTTGAGGCCCCTACATCAGTTTCTGACACGCATGCCCTGATGATGACAGACAGACACAGAACCATACTATACAACCCTATACCATATTGTACTATATTATTCCTATACTTCTACTCTACTATACTACTTAAAGGATCATGGGACTTAGCAAGTGGGGTTATAAATAAGGTAACTATACTTGTAAGTACTTATAACCCCAATTAAGGCACTTTTAACCCTACTTACTAAGTCCCATGATCCTCCAAGTATATGACTCGTCAATGGGAACCATGCTTCAGTGTCTTTGTCTCAGGCCTGAAGAAGCCGTAGCTGTGCGGTGTCGTGTTCCTCTCTCCCTATACCCATAGGCTCCATAGTAGTTCCTTTTTGGGATTACCTTGTAGGACTAGTAGTTCCTTGTTGGGATTACCTTGTAGGACTCTAGACATATGAACGCCAAAACGGAACTACTATGGAGCCTTTAGGTACTGACGAATCTTGAAGTCTCCGGCCCGGTGGAAAGCTGGTGACCGCAGTCGTATGCAGCGTGCGATCATGGAGTGCATAGCATATCGGGCGCTAGTTCTTCGAGTACTTGGAGGATCATGGGACTTAGTAAGTAAGGTTATAAGTACCGTAATTGGGGCTGTAAGTAAGTATCAGTATGGTTCCTTATTTATAAGCTAAGTCCCAAGATCCTTTAAGTAGCATATCCAATGCATGTTCCCTTGCCAGCCGCCTTAGAAAGACGCCACAGGCGCTCTTCAGAGCTGCGAATTCCCCCTATTCTCGGCTGAACTGGCAGACGCTTCTGTTCACGGAACTGAGAAAGCAGAAGCTAGACCAATGGAAACATGCGGAGAAAGTGGTTTGACGAAAGACTGCGTTTTCCATTCATGAGTGTGAGAACCAAGCACTGAAGGCTGTTCCATCTCCATGGGAGCTTCAGACCCAACCTGCTTTCATGCTTCCTCAGGCGTTCAAACCACACAGTCGAGGCCATGCCAGCACGGTAAGTTCAGGGCGACCTACGAGCATACCTCCCTGACGTTTTCCTGCAGCAGAAAGCCGATGTTCTAGAGACACAACACGAATTCCGATGCGTGCTGGCACGGCCGCCTTCATTTGTTCATCAACTCTTGACGCGGTTGCATGTAGCTTCCCTGTCAGATGCCAGAAGTTGCAAGAACGTCGATAGAGCTGTCTAGATGCATCAAAATCGTGTTTTCAGGTGACTTGCGAGATTGCATCTGACGGAAGGTTTCTGTGCACTGCGGTAGTACAAAGGCGTTTATTGCCATATACGGAAGGATGATGAAGAGAAGGCTGCAGTTGAGGTTCCTTGGGTGGCGCTACCGAGCAAACAGTTCTTAACAATTCTCCATTGTCCTCTGCTGTTGATCAACTGCTAGCAACTTAGGGCCTGTTACATGGTCAGCAGCACAGGTTCGGACAGCCACAAGTGCCGGGATGGTTTGACTTGGCTCTAGACAGTTTGATTTGTTCTGTGTGTGCCGATGCCGGATTGTCTTCATCGCCCGCGAACCAACAAGTGATGAAAGACGCAGCGGCCAGGTAAAAAGAGCGTTTCTTGCATGATGCTCGCGTGGCTTTGAGCACTGCTGCAGAGCTTACCAAGTAGGAGATGAGTCAAGATTGGGAATCGTCAGTAGTCGTCCAACATCCATGAAGCTAGATTCCCGGAGACGTATTCTTGAAAGTACGCCCTCCAAGTAACACATGCCGAGCTCGACGAAGCATCATGAAGTGGTGTCAAGCCCCCCCCCCCTACTGTAAACCCTACATTCCAGTGCTGGGCAACATGGCGTGTGGAAGAAGGACTCCGATGCCTTGTCCAACCGTGGGAGTTTCCGAAAATTAGGGGTACCTTATTTGGGGGTCCTTATAGTCAGGATCCTATTATTTAGGGTACTATCTTAGGATCCCCTATGTTGGGAAACTCCCACATGAACCAAGCAATGACAGCTTTGATTGCGGATGTCCGGCTTGAGAAGTCGGCACCAATCCGGTGGCAAAGCTTAAGGCCACGGCCTTTCCTGCAGCGATCATCAAGGGGCTCAAGTCTATGCGGTTGCGGCGCGGTGACTGCTGGCGTTTTTCTGCAGCAGACACGTCGGTGCCGAGTTCGCACATGCGCAGAAAGATTTGGCGGAGAAACCGACGCACTGCGAGAGGATATCCGGAAACTCCAAATTCAACTGGAGCTCTCCAACCGACGAGGGCTGGAAGCCGAGAAGGGGAAGCAGGAGCTTGTTCAGACAGTGGGCAGTGCGCTTGCCCAGAGACAGCGGGCACAAGACGAGCTGGAGAAAGAGCGCAGTGAGTCTGGGGACCTGCGCCTATGCGTCAGCAAGCTGGAGGGTGAGCTGGCATCCGCTGAACAGCAGCTGAGAAGCATCCGCCTTGAGGCGTCTTCGGAGGCCATAGCCAGCGCTCGGCAACGAATGATGGACCTCGAGAGTCAAGTTGCGAAGTCAGACGCTCACCGACGTTCAGCAGAACGAGACCGCGACAGCTCCAGGCTCCAAGCGCTGGATGCCAGGCAAGCAGCCGAGGACACGACGGCGGCACTTGCAGGCCTGCAGGCAGCGATGGAGGAGGCATGCACTAGAAAGGACGCTCAGATCGCAAGTTTGGAAACACAGGTGGTAGCTGAGGCAACTGCAGCACGAGGCGCCCAGGAGAAGTTGGCTGCACTTGGGGATGAAATCGATGCTGTCCGTGGACAGTTGGATGCTGCCGTTGCGAAACTCGAGCAGGAGAAAGTGAAGTGGAAAGAGGAGAGGGAAAACTTCCAGCAAGAGCTCAGCAATGAACGCCAGCAGAAACGACGGATCGAATCTGAGATCCAGCAAGTGAAACTGAAACTCTTGGACACGACGCAAGAGCTCGAAGCTTCGAAGAAAGCATCCGTTCTTGGAGGTTCATGGGTAATTGTAAGCAGGGTTATAAGTAGGGTAACTGTACTTATAGCCCGTACTAACCCTACTTAAAACTACCCACGAACCTCCAAGTTCCCCCCAAAGGCTCCAAAGACTTCGACCAGAGGGATCCGAAGAAACCACCTGCTCAAGCTCCGTTTCCAGCGACGCAAGTGCCTGGGTGCTTGTTAAGGAGCTTAGTATAAGGTACCATAGTAAGGAAACCATACATCATTTTCTCTAGACCCCTATCATGGTTTCTGTTGGATCCCTGTGCCCCAGCAGCTGTCGGAAGAGCGCGAAGAGGAAGAGGAAGCCGAGAAGGAAGAAGCAGAGCACGAAGAGGAGGAAGTGGAGGAGGGAGAAGAGGCTTCGACTGCGGCTTCGACGGCGAGTTCTGTGCCCAGTGCAGCAGAGTTCAATGAACGAGCTGACGAGAGGGCAAGATTGAGGGCCGAACTGGCTGAAATTAAGCAAATGTTGGCAGAAGCTGGCTACTCCAACCAGGAAGTCAAGGCGGATGAGGGCGTATCGCAGCTGAATGAGGCGATTCGCCGCGTGGACGCCGACGGCATGGTCTCCTACAAGGCATGGGCGAAGAAAAGCGGAATTCGGCTTCCGGAAACCAAGAAGGAGTCCTACACCGCCTACAGGAGGACGAAGACCCAGCGGAAGAAAGGAATGCTAACGTACGCGCACAACTCAAACTCGCAGCGAGGAAAGACTAGTTCTGCGATGAAGGCGGAACAGAAGAAGCTGAAAGCTGCCAAACGAAAGCAGTTGAAAGCAATGAAGCGGCGGCGCCAGGCAGGCAGCGATGGCCCTGTCCCAGAGCTGGAGAAAATAGACGAATCCGAAACAATCACTGACTGAGGCACGCGCGGCTGTGAAAGAGTTTGTGCAGATTCCCTTACTAGCCAGGATGCTGAGCAAAGAATACTCCAAGGGTAAAAGGAGGGACCCTTAATACGGACCCCTAGGTATATACCCTTAATATTGCCATTATATACCCATTATATAGCCCATTATAGCGTCGGGGTCCCCATTAAGGGTCCCTCCTTTTCCCCTTTGAAATACGAGGTAAGCAGCCTCAGGCCTGGCAACGTATCCCCAGTGAGATAGCCTGAACCAGCGAATTTCCAATCCTGACATGTTCCTTGGATTAGGGTTTAGGGTCTAGGCTTCTTTGAGGGGCTTGAGCAGGAAGAACGGAATCGCAGGAGGGTGGCTGGATTCTTCTTTTTACTCGCTTAGGTTTGTATCTGTATGGGCTAGTGATCTTCATTGGCCAGCCCTTCACTTTTTAGTAGAATGAAAGGTGGAACATCATTATCCTCATGCCCTTAAGGTAAAGCATAGGGAATCCCAGCACTAATTACCCTTAAACCATGTTCCAACTTTCTGGGATTCACTGTATGTGCCCCGCCTGAATTCTCCGAGTGTGAGCGCCGACACCGTTCGTCGCCGAAGGTTTCTACTTCTACACCATTGGGGAGCGCCATGTCACACAGCAGGCGAGGAGATCACAAGACTGGAGAACTGCCACTACTACTGTTGCTGCTGCTGTTGCGACGATCACGACTGACTACGACGACTACTTGTACTAACTCCACCCCAAGAGCTTGGTTTTCTTCCTGTTGACCGTATTCTTGCTTTTCCTGCCGTGTGCAGGAAACCGGCTTAGTTGGTTCCGTGTGCTCGCTCCGTAGCATCGGGAGCCGGGCCGTGCAATGTTGCGAATCGTCATACATTACATCCCAAACCCTTGTCATAAATTATTCAGGCTCCGATATAGAGACCGATAAGACCCATCAACTTTAACCTACAAAACACCAGCTATAAAGGCCTCTTCTGGTTCTGCCGGCCCCCAGCATATGGAACCCTAGGCATTATAAATCCTATGCCCTAAACCCTAAACCCTATAAAGGGTACCCTTTACAGGAACCCAGAAACCTTCAAGAACTTGTTTCGGCCCCTATGGTGTCATAGGGACTGTTCGGGAGGTAGGGGGCCAAACTCTCGTAAATAGATGTTTTCTGGGTCCTTATTGTGGGCACTAAGGCCCCCTACACCCCTCCCCCCAGCCCTGAGGGTCCCTAAATAATTCACGGAACCCTTAAAGATACCCAGAGAGGAACCCTTAGAGACCCCTTAAAGGAACCCGTAAACATCCTTGTGACGGTGGGGAACAGCTGAAACCCTATAGATCCCTTAAAGGGTACCCTTTAAAGGAACCCCGCAACCTTCAAGAACTTATTCCGGCCCCTATGGTGTCATAGGGACTGTTAGGAGGGGGGGGTACTTGGAGGGTCGGGGACTTAGTAAGTGGTTATTTTCGGGACTTATAAGTACCATAACCCCAATTAGGGTCCCTTTTAGGGTACAAGTCTACTTACTACCTACTTACTAAGTCCCCCGACCCTCCAAGTAGGGGGCCTTAATGCCCCTTTTAAAGGAACGCGTAGGGGTCCTTGTGATGGTGTTTGGAAGTGCAGGAGCTGGGCTTTCGGCTGGCAGAGGCCACAGGACGTTTTCATTTGGCCGCCGGGCCCTCGCGTTTTGCCTTTAGGAGGGCTGAGGGCCATTAAGGGGTTTTGGGATTTGGGGGTTTAGGGTTTTAAGGTTTAAGGTTTAGGAGTGGACAGGGTTCTTCTGGTGTTATATAGGGTTCTAGATACTGGGAAAGGCTATATGGCGGTTTTGCGGCTTTCGGGATGTAGGGTTTTCCAGGTCTTGGGGGTGTCAGGGTTACAAAACACGCGATAAGAAGTTCTTGTAAGCGTTCCGTCAAAGTTCTTGCATGTACATGCTGATGTGGATTGCAGTTGACAGCAAAGCCCCAAAGCTTCACAACCACGCCAGCTTCGACATCCCCTAAACCCTAAAACCTCTAAGCCTTAAACGGCCCTGCAGCACACCCCACTACACGCCACGTAACTCAAATCCCAAGGCCTAAAGACCGACATTTTATCGAGAAGTGGGAACCCGTCCCTCTTGCTTACACTTAGGCTAACATAGGGGCCGCAATAAATAGAATAGGGTTTTAGGGTATATACTTGTAATAATCTCATGGTAATGGTAATAGCAGTATGAATCATCACCATCATCATGAGCCCCAAGAGGGTATTGAAAGTTTTTTGTGCCAGGCTACAGCCCCGGACTGAGCTGGGCTGTTTCGCCCGTTTCTAACTACAAATGAACCTCCCAATAGTGAGCCGCAGTGCATCACTGCGCCATAACCACCAAGCCTGGAGGCGAATCCTAGATTTTAATGAAGTAAACACACACATAAGTATATTTTTGTGTGTGTACTATGTCTATAGATGTGTACAGACGTATACATATATGTGTATGTAGATATGTATATATATATATATATATATATATATATATACCTCGCAGCCTATGTTGTGGTCTCCAGCTTGCGCCCCCGAGCTCCCAAGTTCCTCGAGAAGAAGCGAAGCGTGTGCATCTGGCAGAGTCTAGGACCGCTTGTGGTTAGTGCGGCCCAAAGGGTCCAAAGTACCTATATGGTAGAATGCAGGGTTTCTATAATAGTAATTTCTGTTATGAATTGGGGAAGTTCCCCCATACTAGTACCTGGGGCCCTTTGACCGGAGAAGTGCCCAGCATGAGCATGAGGCCCCGACTTGGGTGATCCACGTGTGGCTGGCAGCCGGGTCCTCGTTGCCACCGGCATGCGCCAAGAACTCGACTTAGAACTTTGACCCCTGACTCCAGCCATAGTCTGCCAGGGAGTTCGCGAAATCCTACAGCAAACCCTAAACCCTGTAGTGGATAGGATCTTGCCCGAGAAAGCTCTTTTGAAATAGAGGGGTCTCAAAGCGGACCTCTACCCTCTGCAAATGCCCCGGCATAGACATGTTCTTTAAGCTTTTATTGCTGTTTATTCTGTCATGCTTGTTATCTTCTGCTTGACTTCATCTGTTCGTGTCGTGTGTTGGGGCATTGCCTATCATTAGTTGCGATCCCGTGGACTATGTGGAGCCTTGCCTGCCTTGTGCGAGTGTGAGCGTCGAAACCCTGTAGTGATACGATGGACTATGTGGAGCCTTGCCTGCCTTGTGCGAGAGTGAGCTTCGAAACGAGTGTGAGCGCCGAAGCCCTAAACCCCAAGAAGTGTTGAGGTCATGAACTTCCTGGTGTCGTTCCAGTTCCAGCTGCCCAGCTGGCCACTCAATCAGCCTGCAGGCCGCTAACAGCTGCAGGAACCAAGAGATCCCACTACCCCTTAATTAAGGAATATACCTTAAACCATAATGTTAAGACCCCTTTAGTTTAAGGTAGATTCCCTAATTAAGTGATATTGGGATCTCTGGGAAGCTGTTTGGGCTGGGAGTCGGATTTCTGTCTGGTGCTTAGTAGGGAATGGGGGAATGGATCCCAAAAGCAGTCCCTATACAACCCCCAATAGTAGTCCCAATAACCCATTCCCTTCTAAGAACCAGACAGATTTTGCACAGGGCGTGTCGTGGAGCCGAAGTCGTACTTCACCACGCCGCGGGCCCAGAAAAGGACTGCAGAGCTTCTGTCACTGCGAGCACAGGGCCAGAAACGGGAGGGACAGAAAGATCCTCATCTGAATATACTATACTTTACTACAGTAGACTATAGCTATAAGCTAGCATGTTATACTATACTATAGTATACATACATAAGTATACTCATACGACACTCTAAGGTAAGATAACATAATTGCCTGCAAGAAAGTTCAGAAGCTTGCTGATAAGCAAATCCTCAGGCGCCATGTTGCTGCATGATTGTGCTCCTTCTCTTGACTGTCGCTGCCCAGATACTCCATGGCCAAGAAAGGCCTCATCGACCAGTGGCTCCCTGGCAGTGAACCAACAAGGTCTGAGGTTCTCCGAGCATTTGAGTCGTTTGAGACTGGCGCCCAGACAATGGTCCAAGTAGTTCTGCTGGCTTTCAGATACGAAGCCTTGGCAAGCCTCAGGTTTGACAACACTCTTTTTCGAGAGACTTTTGGCTACAGCCACCTCTACACCACTGAGGCTGACCCATTGAGAGTTGCGGGTCACATGAGCTCCACAGTGTCCCCGTCATCCCAACTTCCATCCAGGAGTCAGTGGCCATGGTGGCGGCAGCTCAGAAGCAGAGCCGCCCCAGGCGACCGCAAGGGAGGATAGTAGGATTTTGCCACTTTGGGACCAAGGACCGAGCTGTTTCCACCTACCGTTTCAGCTAGGTTCCTGGCAGAGCCTAAACCCTAAAACCTAAACCCGAAGCCCGAAGTCTTGCCTGCAGGCAGACACACTCGCACAACAAGCGGCCTGGTACGCGTGGTCCTGAGCTGGAACCCGGAATTCCATCATGCGCATTTCAGATGTCAGACTCGCAGCTCTTCGGCTTCCCTGCATTTTAAGCTTACAATCCAACTTAGCGGTCTGCATTTTATACTACAGAATTATATATATATATATATATACACACATATCCACGTACCTAACCCACGCCAGCGCCTTTGGCCGGCTAAGGTTGACCCTCGTGGCAGGGCCTGTGGTTATTTCCCTTTGTACAATGGTCGCGGCCTCGACATATCATTGTTACTATTCGTATTGTCATTACTCATTATGATTGTGATTATCACTACTCGTATTGTTGATTTGGGTGGTTGTCAAAATTATGGTTCCTTTTTGGGTTCCCTACATAGTAGGTGCCGTACTATATTAGGGACCCGGAAAGGGACCCTAATTGTGACAACCGCCCATTTGTTGTTTTTTACTCTTCCTGTTTTTGTTGTTATTATGGGAAGCTTCAAGCCTCGGGCCGCTGTGAAGCTCTCTGCTTTGCATATTTGGCTGTGGTGAAGGGCCAGAAGTAGTAGCAATGATCATAGGAAGAAGACGCAGGATGGCCAGCTTCGTCATCATCATCTTCTTCACCAAGAGCGGTGGCGAATATTGTGCATTGCCCTTTGTGTAGCAACAGCAAGGACTACCCACTGACCTTCAAGTAGGCATCGTCTCCAGCACGATCACTGGTCGTATCATGGGCACCTCTACAATCATTGCGTAATGGATGTCATGAGTGGTGCCTCGTTGGCTTCGATATAATTGCCGAGCAAAGTGAACCTTGCTGCACCAAGCTGCAGAGCGAGAGTTTGGGCCATATTTTTCGAACCAATCAACGTTGTTACTGCAACACCCGCATCAGCACGTGCTCGCTGTGGGTGGCAAAACCGGCAGTTGACAGCTCAGGTTTTGGTGATGCTTTGCGGTGGCTTGAGCCTTTCTGCCTTTCAGCTGCAGTTCTTGCGGCGGGACAATCCGGAAAAAAACGATTGAAGGGATTTTGCGAAGTCTTCTGCAGCGGATGTCGGCTGATGTATCGGTGGGGATCGTCTAGTCAGACTCGTCTGTAGTTTGATCCCTATTGAGCCGAAGCCTTGAACACTCGATCGTCTATTCAAGGCTGACACTAGGGGTACCTTACTTTGGGATCCATATATAAGAAGGATCCCATTATTTAGGGTACTGTATTAGGATCCTCTATTTTCGGAAACCCTAAACCCTAAACCCCTTTAAGGAACCCGTAAAGGATCCCTTTATTAGGGTCCCCTATTTTCGGAGACTGATGTGCCTTTCACGGCTTGATGGCACGTCAACCGAGCAAGGCTCGTGAGGAGCGCTGCTGGCCCGAAGGCAAAGCCCCCAAAGCTTCTAAACCCTAAGCCCTAAACCAATGTCGTCAAAAACAAACCTTAAACCCCTAAACCCTATAAGCCCTAAACCCCTAAAACAGGATGCTTTTTTTTCTGGAAGAAGGAGCTTATCTTAAAAAAAATAAAACACCTAAACCCTACGAGGTTGCATGCTCCACATCCTGGAGCCTGTGCAGCAGCTCGGTGGCAAATCTAAGATGGTTTTGCACGGGCTCGATTCCGTGTTGCAATCGTGCATCCTCAAAATTGGTAATGGGACCGCTTTTGACTTCTCACGACTTTGAGCCATGATACTATAGGGCCTATACTATTTTGGTGGTTCCTTATTAGAATTATACTATAAAGGGGCCGCAAACCCTATTCTGATTCTTAAGGCCCCTATAGTAGAAGACCCCCGGCCTCAATGGATGTTCCCCTCACTGACTCCTACTGGTAGCTGCAGTGCAAACAGATGGATTCCTCCCATGCACTATGTTTCCGCCTGCTTTTGTCGAGGTTAAATGAGGTTAAGATGATTTCGGTACAAGTGTCAACGAACAAGACAACACAAGGAAATGCCGACATTCAACCAGTGACAGAGAACCGGCAGAAAATAGCAGGCAGACGGATAGACAGATGCAGAAACGCGGTTGCATGCAGTCGCAGTTCTCATCGCCATCATAAGCAAAAGTCGCCATCGGCTGACGCATGATTGTTAGACGACGCATAGGCAGCAAGTCAATGCCATCCTTATCACCATCATCGTTCTCGGCATCACGAAGAAAGCCAACACGATCATGAGCACCTGCATCGTGTGCGTCGGCGTGTTGTCATCAGAATCGAACGTGAGTTATCAGTTTCCTTCTCTTCAGTGCCACCATCACCAGCAGCACTCCAAAGACTGGGCTGTTGAAGCACGTCTATCGGTAAAGGATGATCCGGAAGCTTCCCACCGTTTCGCTCATTCGCTCCCGGAAGCATTCACACGCGCCCATCGGGATCCTCTTCGATCCGTCTTCCTCATCGCCTTGAACCGTTTGTGCAGCTGGTTGTGCACAAGCTCTAGCGCAAAAACCTGCTTTAAGCATCTTCAAACTGGTCCTTCGCATGTCATTCATAGCGCTGCTAAGCGACAGGCGCCCGAGATAAGTACAACTGTAGCTCTAGCTTTTCCGTCGGCATAGAAGAGAAGCAGAACCTGCCGGCCAGTCCATGGATAATTGATGTGTGCTGTTTTGGTTCGTAGCACCAGGAGTGCAGTGCCCATGCTGACACCAGGGTTGGCATGTTCAGGTCTTTGTCAGTTCGGCTTCTTTGTCTCCTCGCCTGCTACGCACGTTTGTGGCTTCGTAACGTGCCTTGGCATCTCCCGCAGCCCGGAGCTCTAGCAGATAATATGGAAGCCTGAATATTTAGTAGCTATTTTGAGGGTGCATGGTTATAGTTTTCGTGCCATATACCACCACAAACCCTATTCCGATAATGGAGGCCCCTACATTAGCGATCTTTTGCTCGACTGGTCACCTGCAGCATACCAGCAGGAACTACCCAAAGGCCCCAAAGTAGTTCCTTTTTGGGGTTCGTATATAGAATCCTATAGGGTAATCCCCAGAAGGAACTACTTTGGGGCCCTTGGGTAATCCTCTAAACCCGAGAAACGACGACAGCTTGTGTTGATTTGTGTTCTTGCTTCCCAGCTCGATCCAGTAGTTGCGAAACGCGAACCGAGAGACGTCGTCTGGCTCCCTCCGAGCTGCGAGAGCTGAAACACTGCCGGGAGTAAACTGTCTGGTTCTTAGTAGGGAATGGGGGAAAGAGTGAATTACAGGGACTACTATGCGTTGCCTGGCGCTGCTAGACCCTCTGGATGCAACGGCAGAGACAGAGAGAGAGAGAGGGAGAGTCAGGTAAGCCTGGTATGACACAAGCGGTCGTGGGGGAACCTTAAACCGTGATCCTACACTTTATCTGGTGTCAAGTTACTCATCTTTGTGCTGACAGACGATGGATCCCCCGCACCGATACCGTACAGTACATTGAAGCATGAACCGGGGGGCAAACTCACTTTTTCCTTGCTAGTGATGTTTCGGAGCTCGTCTTGGCTTTATCAAGTTTTGATGCTGTAACGTGACCCCGGGCCATGGCATCAACTGTCTTGCTCTGTGTACTTCAACGTCCTCGGGGGATCATACTTGTGTTACGTACTCTCTATGTGCTCACTGCTCTCGTTTCAAACAGATCCACCAGGGGACATAACTGCGAAAAACCTTTCACACTCCTCCAAAGTCCCCACAAAATATGGGGGGGCCCTAGTGGCCGAGGGGTCTTAACAGCCCCTCATCCTCGGGCGGAAGAAGAGAGAGAGAGAGAGAGAGAGAGAGAGAGAGAGAGAGAGAGAGAGAGAGAGAGAGAGAGAGAGAGAGAGAGGGAGAGAGAGAAAGAGGGAGAGAGAGAGAGAGAGAGAGAGACAGAGAGAGAGGGAGAGGAGGAGGAGAGAGGAGAGAGTAGAGGGGGGAGGGGAGAGGCGAGGGGAGGAGTTAATGAGAGAGGGAGAGAGAGAGAGAGAGCGATGAGAGAGGGATGGGACGAGAGAGGTCCGGGAGGGGAGATGAGGATTGAGAGGGGGAGAGAGAGGGAGAGAGAGGGGAGAGAGAGGGAGAGATGGGAGAGAAGAGGGAGGAGGAGCGGGAGAAGAGAGAGGAGAGGGAGGAAGAGGGAGAGGACAGGGAGAGACAGGGAGCGGAGAGGAGAGGGAGAGAAGGGAGATCTATGGAGGGGGGAGAGGGAGAGAGACGGAGAGAGGGGGAGAGAGGGGGAGAGAGGGGGAGAGAGGGGGAGAGAGGGGGAGAGAGGGGGAGAGAGGGGGGGAGAGGGGGGGGGAGAGAGAGAGAGAGAGAGAGAGAGAGAGAGAGAGAGAGAGAGAGAGAGAGAGAGAGAGAGAGAGAGAGAGAGAGAGAGAGAGAGAGGGAGAGAGAGGGAGAGAGAGGGAGAGAGAGGGAGAGAGAGGGAGAGAGAGGGAGAGGGAGAGAGAGGGAGAGCGGGAGAGCGGGAGAGCGGGAGAGGGAGAGAGATTATAAGGGATCCTTAAGGGACTATCATAAAGGGATCCATTCCCCGATTCCTTTCTGAGAACCAGACAGTAAAGGTCGCTATTGGGGGCCGCTCGATGCCTCAGAGCCAAGCCCTGATATGTCGAAGCCGGTGCAGTTGGTAGAGTTCTGAGGTCGGAATACTTACGAACACTATTCCTTAGGTTTGATTATACTTGTAGTACAATATACCCCCAAAACGAACTCAAAACCATATTCTGATTATGGATTGTTACATAGGGCCCCTAGATTAGGCATAGGCTAGGAGATACCAGGATCTTGTGCTGACAACTCTCCAACAGCCGAATTTTCACCTGGCGAAGGCAGCCAGCCTATCGGCTGTGGATGCCCTTCCAGGGCGGCTCGCTTCACGTCTTCCTGCAGGGAATAGGCTTCCTGAGCTGCTTCTGTGTGTGTGTGTGTGTGTGTGTGTGTGTGTGTGTGTGTGTGTGTGTGTGTGTGTGTGTGTGTGTGTGTGTGTGTGTGTGTGTGTGTGTGTGTGTGTGTGTGTGTTGTTGTGTGTGTGTGTGTGTGTGTGTGTGTGTGTGTGTGTGTGTGTGTGTGTGTGTGTGTGTGTGTGTGTGTGTGTGTGTGTGTGTGTGTGTGTGTGTGTGTGTGTGTGTGTGTGTGTGTGTGTGTGTGTGTGTGTGTGTGTGTTGCGTGCGTTTGCTTCATCAGGGTTTAGGGTTTAGGGTCTGTCATCTGCAAGTAGTACCGGGCCAAAGAATGGAAATCTGGAAACGTGAGGCAAGCAAAGTCACAGAAATGCAGGAATTCCGTCCGATGAGAGTCCTGATTCACCACGGGTGTTGCCATGGGCGAATTTACATTAGTTTACATTCCCTGCGTCATGGCTCAAGCCATTTCAGCTCTCCAGCTATCTTCCCACAGCTTCGTGGAAGGACAAGATCATCGGTCATGGAGCAGCAGCACATCGTGTTCTTCAACCTTCCAGCTGCCGGACACATGAACCCGACCCTGCCGGTGGTGGCTGAGCTGCGCTCGCGAGGCGTGGCGGTGACCTACTTCGTGCCCCCACAGATGCGTGAGGTGGTCGAGGCCGCCGGAGCTACCTGGCAACTCTTGGAGGAGTTCAAGGAGGGGATGTCGCTGGAGGAGTATGAGTTTCCCATGATGTCCATGCCCGTGGCGGCTTCACAGCTCCCGAAGCTGATCCCCGAGCTGAAAAGCTTCAGCCCGCCAGTCACGGCCATCGTGTATGACCCCTTCCTGCCACAAGCCCTGGTGGCAGCGCAGGTCCTGGGTATTCCTGCTGTGAGCACCCTGACTATGCCCGGCCCGGGCGTCATCGCTCGACCTGCCAAGGTGACTGCAGAGTGGGAGTCCAACGAGGTAGTTCGCCGAGCTCGGCGCGAAATCCTGGAGATGTACGGTGTGGACGTCTTTCACTTCGGTGGGCTGATGGAGTTCTACTCCCCAAACCGGAGCATCGTCACCACGATCGACGGGCTCTTCGTGCCGCGCGCAGCGGGAGTGCAGCGTGATCGATTTGGAAATTTTCCCTTTACGTGCGTCGGCCCCCTCTTGGACACCAAGGTGAAGCGTGTATGCCATCCCTGGGCCGATGCGGAGTCAAAGCCGTCCAGTGGCTTGCCCTGGGATGTCATCGACGGTGCTCTCGCTGCGTCGAAACGGCTTGTGCTGATCTCGCTTGGCACTGTTGCGAACTCCCACTTTTGGGATGAACAGTTCGGAGCGCAGGGGCTCAACAACGGTCTGGAGAACTGCACCGGTAAGGAGATCATCCAGCACGTCTTCCGCACAGCCTTCGAAGCGCTGAGAGACGAGGAAGACGTGTTGGTTGTTCTGGTGGTGGGCTGTCAGCCAGACGTGCTGGAGGGCCTCCCCACTCCGCCTTTCAACTTCATTGTTCGTGAGACCGTTCCCCAGATCGAGCTTCTCCCCAAGTGCCACGCTTTCCTCTCGCACTGCGGTGCCAACAGCATGCACGAGGCACTTCGATTTGGCGTCCCATTGGTGGGCGTGCCGCTCTTCGGAGACCAGGTCCCCAACAGTCAGTCCGTCGCTCAGGCCGGAGCCGGCGTCGCGTTTGGAAGGCCCTTGGAGACCCTCAGCAGCACGGCCCTTCGCTCTTCCATCCGACAACTGGTGGACGCTGCACCTGGCAACCCCTTCCGACAGGCAGCGCAAGGCCTCAGCAAGCGCATGCAGTCGGCAGGGGGAGTCGTGCGAGCTGCGAATGTGATCCTGGAGACTGCAATGGCGCGGCAATCGCTGATTGCGGGTGCCTAGCCAAGTCACCCCCTGCCAACAGTGCAGATTCCCTGTTGATTGCTTTATTTTAGATGTTCACGACGTGCTGATGTACAGAGTTGGCTGAGGAGCCCAGACCGTCACAATGTACAGGCTTCGGCGACAGGCCCTTTCTGGCTGTGTATAGAATGCTCAGGGGTTCTTGATGCCTCAGGCACGACAGTCATAGCACACTTTGTCAAAAACATCCCCGTGTGTGATGAGTTGGCTGGAGGTTCAATTTTGACTATTGGCACATGGGGGGGTGATGTTGAAGGCTCGTGTCTTGTGTCATGCAAGACACACGTCGACAAAGCCTGGCGACCGGTGCATTCTCAGTCGACTGCCGACTGCAAACCTCATCTGGCAAGCCCGGTTTTGAGAGTGTTCAGTGCTCACTCTTTTTTCCTGGGCGTCCAGAAACGATCCCAAAGGCTCTAAGTTAACAACAACCCCCGCTAATCAGATTCTCACAGGCTGGTCCTGCTTTGCGCTGCTGCTGATGCAATGGCTCGAGCCTTATGGGTTTGGTAGATTGGGAGATGAGGGCTCAGGGTTTAAGGTCCAGGACTTGGGAATCCGAAACCCTAAACCCGCGCCCCGATGAAGGGTGCTTGATTTGACGTGAACCCTTTGGGCCAGTCCTCCGTGGCATTGCCTTGTGTTGTGAGCTGTCTTTCAGCGTGCCCGAAGGGAACATGCCGTAGATACCTGACCTGCCGACCAAGAACCTCGTCTGGATGCGTCCGAGTTGCGAGAGCGTAAACCCGCTACCGAGGCCGAGTTGCGAGAGAGCAAACCCCCTTCCGATAGAACGACGCCCAAACCCTAAAGCCGAGGTGTGCAAGTTACTACGGCGAAGAGATGCTCTTGACCGAGCTCCCTGGCTGCCACACAGAGTGCTTCGGAATCCTCCATGGAGCCCCGGTACGCCTTCTTGGAGCAGCGGTACGTAAGGTTATCAGTACCTACAAGAATAATGCATACATTCTAATTCATCTAGTTATATATATATATATATATATATATATATATAGGTAGGTAGGTAGGTAGGTAAGTAGGTAGGTATGTATGTACGTATCTATGTATGTATGTATGTATGTATGTATGCATGTATGTATGTATGTATGTATGTATTTTATGTAATGTATGTAAGCAAGTAAGGAAGTATGTATGTATGTATGTATGCATGTATGTATGCATGTATGTATGTATGTATGTATGTATTATGTATGTATGTATGTATGACTTACGCATGTATATATGTCTGAGTATGTGTATGTGTGTGTGCGCATGCGATGTGTATTTATGTACATTATATATATATATATATATATGTACGTATGGATCTGGGCTGCGACCTCATGGAGTTTGTACCCGAAAAGCCGATAGGCGTGAACAGCATGCATGTATGTGCATGTATATATAAACGCACATATGCATCTCACTCTAACTACAATTGTACGTACAAGTATACGTATGTGCATATGTCTATGAGAGGTTATGAGAGTATGCATTTATACATGCATACGCAGGTAGGTAGGTATGTAGGTATGTGTATACACACCGCAAACCGCAGCCCGGTGCATTTTTTTAAAAGGCCGAAGCGACGCCCCCGAGGTTTCCCTACGTCGGAGACAGCCGACTCAAGGCCTTCCTTTAGGGGATTTTTGGTGTTTTATCAGGACCCCTGAAGCATATAGAATAAGAGCTTTTCATGGGTGCGGGGGGGGGGGGGGGATGAGTTTACCTACTTTCTGGCGGTTTCGGGTAGGGCTTCGGGTAGCTCAGCGCTTAAGGCTTCAGATGTGGGGCAGAAGTTGGGGACCCGCAGAAACCTAGTTTTTTGAGGGTAGGTGGGCATGTACAAGCCTGTGCAAAAAACGTGGTTTAGGGTTTTAGGGCTTATCGCCTGTGCACCCAAAAAGCCTCGTGCGGTTCAGGGTTTCAGGGCTTAGGGGGTTTAGGGTTGCTGCTTGCATCACCGAAGACCTACACAGTAAGGGATGTATATGTAAAGCACCCATGATGGGTTTTAGGGTTTAGCTGTATCCTGCAAAGGTCTACGTTGTTATCGGATTCCTGTTGATGGTGTCCTTGTATTGTAATATTCCTCCATATCATAACATATGGTATCGAGTTATGTTTAAAGTTGTTACATGATAGGATACATGCGTGGAGCAAGGGCAAGTTCCAGGGGCTACACGTGAGGGGAGACTTTTGCAAAATATAATGCGTAATTCTGCATGTGTAGTTAGGGTTTGTTATAGTCTGGTCTGATTCAAGGACAAAGTGAGAGCACGTTCTTGCAACGTCGTACTAGAGTAGGGAGATAAAGAAAGTCCCTGATCACATAGCAGCCCGGCTAGATCGACCAGGTTGCCTATAGTACATCATCGTCCTTTGCCCTAAGCATGTTCGTATTGGGTCCCTGGCCATCTCAACTGCAACACGGCATGAGTCTGACATGATGTGACAATCCTGAACCCGGGACCCGATCATGTAGTGCACCCTTGCTGCCTGGGGCCTTTCTTGCTTTCAGCGCGAGAGTCGAAATCCGACGATTTCCATGTCCCACGAAAATCCCAAAGTCGCTGTGAGGCAGCTTTTGGCTTGATCGCACAGGCCAGCAATCTGCGCCTAGCATGTGTGTGAGAGGTTTGTGCCGAGGGGTGCCCTGTAGATTTGCTCTGCTGTGACTTACCTGCCTGTGGTTTGTGATGCTTCAAGTCCAGCCAGGTGACGCTTGGACTGAGCGTGCTGGCGTTTAAAACTCCATGGGAGAAGACGAAGCGGAGCTGATGGGCTCCTCTTGCGTCGACCCGGCGAAGTTTGAGGTTTCATTTATCTAACATGCTCGTGGACTAGTGATTGTTGACAAAGAGCGGTTTCTGACACACCTGTGACACTTCTCATGCAGGCTAAATCCGGGCTCGTGGCTCGGCTTAGACAGCCTTGGATAGTCCAGGGCATCTGTACCTCAAACTTCTGCCTCTTCGCACGATGCGGCAGATCGATTTACATACCCTGACCATTGCCCTTGAGGCGATTTCACTGAAGTCCCCAAGCCCACCACGCACTTGCTTTCATTTCACTTCGCGGCCTAAGTAGTCTCTGGGCTTCAGAGATGTACGGCTCTTTAAAGAAACGTGAAGACGCCAATGCTGCTAGCGCCAGAGGCCACATCACAGACGACATCCCTCCAGGGCTTGTTAGCGATCCTTGTGCGGGACCATGATGAGCCATCACGAGGCTGATGCTCATCGGCTTGCCCTATTTTTACACGCCAAAGCGGCATATTACAGGGGGAATGAATGCTTGAGCTTTTTGGCTAAGACTCAGGCTGTCTCTCGCCACTCCACGGCATGCAAACTGTAGCACTCCGGTAAGCACGGTGCAGTCAAGTGTGGTCTTTCTGTGTTGAATTTCCACCGCGCCCGACAGGAGGTTTGTCAGAATCGTGTGTCGTGCGGAGTGTGGAAGAAGTCTTTCGTTGTAAGGGGGCAAGCCCCCAAGCATTCTTCTCCTCGGTAGACAGAATCCAGAGTTCATTTGGATGTATCAGTTTGAAGCTGTGAACACATTGGACGAAGGCGCTCATGTCTCGGCCATTTGGGCTCCCCCAACACATCTCCTAGGTACGCCAAGAGTCCAACTGTGTGACCTGCTCCCTGTCGTGGGAGCAGCTCCCGGCACGAAGAAGCGCGTGCCGAAGGGACCTCGCCGCTGGGCCTACAGTGGCCTACAGCAGCTGGAACCACATGTAATGGCTCCACACTACTCCCAGGATGTCGATGAAAAACACAAGACTCCAGGACGGAAGAGAGCAGTAGAGAAACTGGGGGGATATCGGATAACACTTCCAAGCCCACAGAAGCGAGACGAAAGACAGGCCACGCAATTTCCTTCAAGTCCTTTCGACTAGGTACTCAGCGATCAAGGGGCTTATCCATCGGAGTATGCTTGGGCTAGACGGGCTAGCACCGTGCGCCTCAACTGTCTCAGGATATTCGTGCTCAGATGCGTGGAGCCACTACACCAATTTCAATGTTCCAGCTACGGCCGCGCATGCAAGCGCTGAAGTTCTGCAGCTCGATACCTGCTACCTGTGCATCGTTTCAGATGAGCTTGGTGCTGGCAGTACTGGAGACATGCCCAATTGGGTTGTTTTTGAACTGACATGCAACCTTCGGCATAGGCAATCCACCGCCGGAGAAAGTCTCCGTCAAATGAGGCCCACACCCATATCAGCAAGGTTCGCAGCATTGCGGCATCCCGTTTGCAGGCCCCACTACCCCCAGTGCCTGAACGACCGCTCATGTCCTGCTGCCCAGCCCAAGCTCATTTGCGCATGCACCTAATGTTACTACCTGTGCCGTTTCAACTTGATAGATGTGAGACCCCACATCTGAGACATGTTGCTCATGGCTGTTTCGAGGGTGCAAGTAAGAATACGCTGGCGAAGCAGGAACAACAACAATCTGTTCTATCCTGTCAAACGAAGTGCGAGGCCTTGTAATCACGTCATGCAGCCGAGTTTACATGAGTCTGATACGATGCAGTCCCTTGTTCCGCTCGTTTGTTTGCATGTGTTTCGGTGTTACGTAAGTCCCACCTTCGAAGGCCGCGTTTTTGCAATGCGCAGGTGGTTTCCTGTCCTGGGCACCTGTGCAACTTCCGGGTGTTCCGACGGACATGCATGTAAAGTCTTGAAGTGTTTGTAAGCTGTTTTGTTCGCGGCCGGGTATTTTGCTTGCCTGGCAACAAGGCTCAAGGCTTCGCCTATTGGCCCCACACTGAGGACCCAGGAAGTAAAGCACTGCCACGATGGCTATGCTAGCGGTAGCCTTGCTGACAGGCACTCGAGCTTGCCAGGTTGCAACGGCTCCTGCTCCAGATGTGCAGTAGGTTGCAGAGCTACTTGGACTCTCGCCCGAGGCCATCTCAGACTCAGAGGAGAGGATTCTCAAACGTGCCGGCCCGGTGACGGTTGCAGAAAAGTTGCTGTCACCAGGTGCTTGAAGGGAAAAACCGAACTTGCTCTTCGAAGGTTTCGGTTGTGAGTCTCTGGGGGGGGGGGGGGGAGGCAGCACAGATTTTGCAAAGAGCTATCTACCCAGAATAAGGAGCCTACTATTTAGGGAACTATAGTAGGGCCCCCTCTTTCCGGAAGCCCCAACATGCGTTTTTTGAGGGGCGGCCTCGGCTCTTCGATAAATGGTGATGCAGGAGCGGCAGCTTCTAGCGACTTGGTTCACTTCCCCTAAGGGTCCAAGTACCCAAGTAGTAGGGTTTCAAGGTCCAGAAGCCATTCCTGGGTTGGCCTTCAAACACCCTGAAAAATATTTATATATAGGGCCCCTTATAAACCCAAATAAGGAAAATAAAAAATGTCCCAAAATCCAACCTAGATTCAGAGTATGGATTTTGAGATCTAAAACCCTACTATTTGGGCACTTGGACCCTCTGGGTTCCAGGATCCTCCTTGTAGCCTCAAATAGGGGTATATGGTCCCAAATAAGGGCTAATAGAGGGTAGATGGAGGGTCTAGGTTGGTTCACTTCCGGATTCACATCTGAACTAGGTTGGATTTGGGGACATTTGTTATTGTCCTTATTGGGGTTTATAAGGGACCCTATATATAAATATTTTTCAGGGTGTTTAAAGGCCAACCCAGTGAACCTCTGCAAAGATAGAGCTGAAAGCCGGCCCAAATGATGGGATCCTCGCTTCGTTTTCCTGGCTCCCGCTGAGCAGCCTTGTCCTTTTTCATGGTTCCCCCAAAAGAATAAACAGACCGGCTAATAGACCTTCTTAAATAATTCCTACTAAGGGATTAGGTATAGGGCTCTGTCTATTATTTCTAAAAGGACAAGGGTGTCCTGCTGGTAGTAGAACCCTCGCTTTTTGCCCTTCCATGCAGTGCTCCCTACGAATTGTTCTAATGATAGCCATGATAATGCTAAGCAAAAGAAGAGGAACAATAATTGGTCTTAGTAATAATCATGGTTTCTAGCAGCAATGGTAATAGCAATGCCGTTGCTGGCAATTTGAGCCTTTAGCAAGATTTCCAACCCTCTCATGCATCCCGAAGTAGAATGAAGTGGCCGCTTCCGCAATTGTTAAGCCCTACACCCCTAACTGCATATACCATCTCTTAGCGATTGCCAGAGAAGTCGGTGACGTGGCAGATGGCATGGCTTTGGGGTGCCGGGAGCTGAGTAGAGCTCACTCTCTCAGGGTTGAGTGTTTTGGGTCTAGATTGCCGCAGTGCTGAGGGTTTAGAGGTTCAAGGGTTTTTTGGGAGGATTGAAGCATTCGGCATAGCTTCTTACAAGTGTTCTCGGCACTGGCAACGTATCACAGACTTGATGCTCGTTATGCTTGCTGGAGCTGTGGCCTTGTCAATACAAGCCCGATCTCTGGAAGCGGTACAAGCAAGCTAGATCGCTGTGGCGGCTGATGCTCGTGATGCTTGCCGGAGCGGTAGGCTTGCCAATACAAGCTGGATCGCTGGGGCGGCTGATGCTCGTGATGCTCGCCGGGAGCGGTGGCATTGCCAATACAAGCTAGATCGCCGGGGCGGCTGATGCACATGATGCTTGCCTGAGCGGTGGCCTTGTCAATACAAGCTGGATCGTTGGGGCGGCTGATGCTATAGTGATGCTTGCAGAAGCGGTGGCCTTGCCAACACATGCTGGATCGCTGGGGCGGCTGGTGCTCGTGATGCTTGCCGGAGCGGCGGCCGTGCCAATACAAGCTGGATCGCTGGGGCGGCTGATGCTTGTGATGCTTGCCGAAGCGGTGGCATTGCCAATACAAGCCAGATCGCTGGGGCGGCTGATGGTCGTGATGCTTGCCTGAGCGGTGGCCTTGCCAATACAAGCTGGCATACTGTTTTTTGGGGTTCCTCAATATAATAGTATAATGGGCCCCAAAACCCCATTCTAGTTATGAAGGCCCCTATGGTAGGGTTCTAGTTGCTGTGGGGTTTGGTGTTTTCGAGGCCTGAAAGTAGAGATTAGTGTTTAGGGCTTGGGGAGTGGGGACTTGTTTTTAGGGTTTAGTTGTGTAAGGATTTGGGTTTTGGGGCTTGGGGTTTAGTCATTGAAGTGTAGGGCTCATGAGCAACACAGAGGTAGAGGTGGTGTTCGTCTTTGTAATTGTTGGCCGTCGCAGCCCCTCACCCCAAACCCCAAATCCTAAACCTTTAACCTTCTCAGCTTCAGCCTTAAAGCCCTGAGCCCTAAACCCTCGACCCTAAGCCTTGACCCCTAAACTCTCAACTGTACTGCAGCTGGAAAAAAGTCCTCAAAAAAACTCTCAACCCCTGGCTACAAAATCTACGACGCAACATCTATTGACGCAGCACGCGGATCAACAGCCCAAGCCTGTTTTGAAGAACCGAGCACATGTAGCGAAGCTTGTTCTTTGGAGTCCACCTCTCTTCGGCTTAGCACCTGCCATGCTGCGCATTCAGACCGTGTCGGCTGAAGAACTCGTTGCCCTTGACCTGGCCAGCTTTCTCGAGATGCAGCCTGCCGGCATGCATCCCGTCCGGGCACTGAAGCAACACTTGCACAGAGTTTGTGGTGTGTCAAGATTCAGACAAAGGCTGGTATTCTTGGATGACAAGGTGGTTCTAGATGACGATGGCACCCTGAGACCTGGCGAAGCTCAGGTCGTACTTCTAAGCTTTTGCCCACCATCGGACCCTCAAGTGACAGCACTTCGGGATGCAGCTAGAATTGGCCTGTCAGCAGAAGTGGAGACCTTTCTACAAAGGCCGCAAGACCCAGATT